ATGCCACATAATGTCACACTTAATTGTCCACTTCTGTAACTTGCTGACTTCTTTCTCCCAAAATAATGTGTCATCTCCTAAAGAACGAGAACAAAACAGGGCCATGATTTTTTTTTTTTAATATTCCATCTTACTTTATCAGGCTGGAGACCATTCATTCGTTTGCTACTAGCTTCTTGTTTTTATTTATCAGCATTATTTTGTCTCCCTAAAGAAATGTAACAATTTGGGGATCGAGTTTTTCTTTTTCACATTTGATAATGGCAACACTTGAGTCATTGTTTAACTCAGACCATGAATACTTTCTTATATTCATGCAGGTCAAATCAATATACAACAGTTGGTCATTTAGTTATTACCCTTCCTCAGTTTGGAAGAGGGAAGTAGGTATCTTGCTAGTGCCAAATGTAATTCTAATAACACCAACAAATGGGAGTCCCTTGGGCCGTTGTATTTAGGGAAAATCTCTTAAATCAAATAATGAAATATAATTAGTTGTTACAGAATAAAAACTAATGAACTGGTGATTGGCTACATTTTTCTACTGCTGAGTGAGTCAGCTAGGTTCATTTTCTATTTCTGTCTCACAATCCTCAAAGCCTAGAGGAAAGAAGAAAGACAACCCCAGAAAAGGTGGAAAAATAAACACTGGAGTCATATAGAAAGTTTCAAGTAGCCTTGGCTTTAATTTTTAGGCACATTTTTTTCATTCTGAGCATTTACTGTGAGTTTATCTTTTTGTTCAACAAATAAAGTTCTTGTAAACTTTCATATCTATTCATCTGGACTCTAAGCAAGAAATTAAAATAAAGAGCTTATTTCCTAAATGGATTCCCAAGTGCTATTATAAAGTATGGCAGGTTTAACAAACATGCTCAGTAAAAGCAGTCTATACTTTGCTTCAGTAAATAAAGAGGTTGCTCATGTCCTCAGCTAGATAGCAGTTGTTCTCTTTATTTGTTATTTTATACTATCATGTCATATGTGTCGATAAAGATTTTAATATATATTTCAAACACCAGCCTTTTAAAACAAAATGTTTTCTCCCTGGATTACAAAGAGATGCTCTTATTTAACTGACAAGCTATGTTTCTAGTTTTCACCCATATTCAATTTCATTGCCAATTAGAATTTCTCAAGTCCACCTAACAAATTCTGACATTAAAATGTATTTATCCAAACTCTGAGCAAAATGTATATGTCATTCATATGTGAAGACCTATTACAAGATTGAAATAGATTCCTAACATATTTATCATTCATTTTTGTAACATGCAATTTAAATCAGAAAAAAAAAATAGGTGATTTGACAGTTTCTATGCTTATACACCAAAACATAATACATTCTGGCTAGTTTTTGGCTATTATGGATCATAGCATGCAATGTGACTTTGGTCTAAAAAAGTAAGTTTGGTTATCACAGAAACTTAATCATAAGAAGTCATAAGTAGAATACTTCTTTACTGTGCTTTTCTCAGACTAGGAAATTTATTGTTTGTGAGACATGTAGGATATGAACAATGGACCAAATAGAGCCCAGGGTTATCTTATCTGTGTGAAAACTGCTGCTGAAATTGATGTGACCTCTGCTACACTGTCATTCCAATTCTCACCCTCTGTGTCCTATTTGTCTTTTGGTAGAAGCTTAGATCTGTGTGTTGTCTCTATGTGTCTCTCTTGGGCCAGATTATCAAAATGAATCATTGCCTGCATACCTTTTATATTTCTATTTATTTTCCTAGTGTTGACTAGATCTGATGAAATATGATTCTTTTCACATTTGATCCTCACTGCAGCAAGCAGCACCTAATTCAGCTGTTTCTATCTCTTTAAAGAAGAGTAATAATATTTTGAAACTTCAATCTACTGTACAGCATCATTACACACCATAGACCATGCAACCTGTCTTCATAGTCAATAGTAATTTTCTTTTCAACCAATTTAATGGCATTTCTTTCACCTCCAAATAGAAGACTTCTTACAATTATAATGTAGTTATAATTTTATTTTATGCATACTGAATGTATTGCTTTCTTTTTCAGGTATTTGTAGAATACCCTTCAGAGTCTTATGACTGAGGTTACATGTGTTTGTAGGGTGATATGTAATAAGGAATCCATTAATTTTAAAACCCTGCCTCTGATACAAAATATTCATTCAGGAGA